TGGGCTCCCACAGCGCCTCCACGTCCACCTTGCACACCAGCGCGCCCTGATGGGAGTCCTCTATGGACATGAACTTCCCCCTCTTGGCATTGGTCTGAACGTCCAGCCCGAGTGCAAGCTTCATGGTTGCGAAGTTCGGCTCCTTTTTTTATCCGTAGGAAAAAAGTCCGGTCCGATGAACGCGCGAGTTTTCTTGGTCGTCGCACAGGTCGTCTCCCTGGACATCGTGTCGCAATTTGAGCCCGCCATCCTGTGCGACATCCGGAGCTGGGACTGCACGACGTTTCCGCCGGGGCACTTCGACATGGTTTGGGTCAGCCCGGTCTGCACGGATCGAGAACCCGGCCACCGTGACCTACTGCAAGTACGGAACTCCGCACAGGAAGCAGACGCGGCTGTGGACCAACATGCGCTGGAGGCCGAGGCCAGGCCTGTGCAGGCCCGGCAGCCGCTGCGAGGCGTGGCAGGACGGCACGTCCGCGCCGCGCAGCGGGGGCCCCGGCTGATGGTACGAGAGGGTCAGCCAGTCACGCGAGCTGCTCTACAGCGTTCCTGCTGCGCTGTGCGACGAGATAGCGCGCGCGCACGGAGGAGCTTGCGGAGCGGCTGAGCATTCCGGACTAGCCCGTTCTGGCTTCCTCTAATCCGAGGGTTTGGAACAAAGCCAATTTTTCCGTGTTTTTACTGTTTTTTTTGCGCTGCCACTCAACTTCAAAAACGAAGTTGAAGGGCAGTGGGCTTTTTTTTTAGTCCAGCACAGAGACGCCCGTGCCGGAGAACGTCACCAGCTGGTAGGCCACCAGGTGATGAACAGGTCCGTCATCGTGCCGTCCAGGCCCTTGAAGGTGATCGCCCGAGCGGCTGACGGCATCTTGGGCACGCGCTCGGTGGGAAAGCCGGCAATGAAGCTGTGGCGCAAGTAGCCCACGCGGCCGATGTCAATGTTGCGCACCGTGTCGTCGTAGGTCCCCGCAAGGACCGAGAGGAAGTGGAAGTGCTCCGAGGCTTTTCATGGGGTTGTGAGGGTACTGCAGGCTGCCCAGCTGCATTTGAGACTCCAGGAGGCTGATCCTCCTGCCTGGCCGCGCCGATGGGGGCCACGTCCTGCCCGGGTTGGCCAGCAAGTGGATCTTGGAGCCCGCGTCGTTGTCCTGCTGCGCACCGTGGGGCAGCTGAACACCCCTGAGAGGAGCACGCGGTTGAAGGACTCTACCAGCGCAGAGTCCAGGACGACCTGGGAGGCCAGAACTCGGACGTTCTGGATCTCAAAGTCGGTGCTCAGCGTGGCCCCCGCCGGGTGCGCCCTGGCGTTCCGGACCACAGCGCAGTTGTGGCGTCCGCAAAGTCAATTTCTATCACCAGGTTCAGCTGCGGCGGCAGCATCTTGCCGCAGCGCAGGATGCCCACCATGGTGGGGCGCAGCAGCACGTCCGCGTAGCCGCCCTGGTGCACTGCGCGGGCAATGCGGGGGTGTTCACTTCGTCGAAACCCTCCCTGGCCCTGTTATTTGTGAAATCTAAAACCGCTCACAGCGCATCCTCAGAGGTTGTCATTCAGCAAATGTGGATTCTGCGAAAATTTGGTGGTTTTGCGCGGCGTGGCCACAGCCCTTCTGCTTGCACTTCTGCAAGGGTTTTCAGCTTGCTTCAATATGCAGGCAAAACGGGTCCTAGTCGCATTCTGTGCGTCTCGGAAGTTTAAGTTGCCCGGGCTTATAGCGCTGTTTCTGGCCTTGTAAGTGCGTTTCTGTTGCGGAGCTTTGTGGCTCGAAAAGCCTGACAAGTGCTTTCTAAGCGCAACGGTGACTCAGAGCAGAAGGTTGGTTGGGTTGGAATTCTCTTGGCCTCATTTGCTGCATGTGAGCCTTGGGTTGCGTCTCCGCCAATCCTGCGTGGGGTGCTGGGTTAGGGCAGCCGCAGATAGGCCAGCGCATCGCACGGTCACGTTGACGGTGGCAGCTGCAGCCGCCGCACGCACTCGGGGGCAGTGGCTGCTGCTGCCGTGCGAAGGAACTCCGAACAGTCGTTCAACTTGCTTGCCACCGCATTGCGCAACCCGCAGGAGTTGGGACTAGCAGGTATTTGGTGCAGAATTCCCTGAGCCTGCTGATTTGCAGCTTGGATAGGTCCACCTGGAAGCTACTTGGCAGAGCACAATGCTGAGGCCAGGCGCCGCCGGGCAAGGTAGTACTCTAGCTTTCCGGAACCGAAGAAGGGCGAGTGCAGCACCGACACGTCGCCCAGCAGCAGGTCCAGGTGTGGAGCCAGCCACGACTTACTGCCCATATACTTCAGCTGCATGCCGGCCTCGGCAAGACCGTGCCTGGCAGCAAAAAGAACGCCACACAACTCGCCGTCCGGGCAGGAATTGAGCCGCGCGGAGTAAGAAGCGCTTAGCTCCTTGTCCGACGCCTTAGCCACTGGACTAAGGCGTCGGCGAAAACACATGAAAAGATGTTTGAAGGACCAGTCACCGGCAACATCCCGGAGGTCCTGGACAACGGAGAGGTAACGGAAGGCACGCACGTCACCGCAGGGCAGCTGGCCCTCGCTCTGACGCCCTACGCGCAAGTGGCAGACCTGGCCGTGAACACGGCAGCGTCCGGCAACAACGCAGCTGCCATCCAGTCCCTGGACGACCGGGTCACTGCAGAGCTGGCTTCGCTTCGAAGCTGGACAGCAGCGCACTGGCGCCGGCAATCGCACCTCTGGCCACGGCAGCAGCCCTGGCCACCACGGACGGGCAGGTGGCTGCGCACGGGAGCAGCATCGCTGCGCTGCAGAGTTCGCTGACCACGGGTCTCTCGAACAAGGCCGACCAGTCGGCCTTCGACGTGCTGGAGGGCGTGGTGGCCACGAAGAGCACCCCCGACAGCGTGGACCTGAAGCTGTCGAACTACAGCACCACGGCAGCCATGAACGGCTCCATCGCCTCGGCCAACAACGCCACGCTGGCCACGGTGGCCGCCAACTACGGCCTCAAGACGGTGGAGCTGGCGGGGGACGACGAGAACTTCGTGGTCACGACGGACAAGAAGGACCTGGCTACCAGGGTGGCCCGCAGAGGCGGCCAGTGGAGCGACCACTTCAAGCAGGCCGCGTCGGCCTACAACGCGCGCCCCCACGAGGGAGGACGTCGAGAAACAGCCGGCCACCGAGTTCAGGGCGCTGCAAGACAACGCCGACAGGTTCCAGCACAACAAGGACTTGACGAACCGGCGCATGAAGGCCATAGAGGACGCGGGGGCGTTCGGGCGCCTACCAACGCGGCGAGGAGCTTCAACCTCCAGTACGGCAACGTGCAGCAGCTGCGGGCCGTGGACTCCATGACCGTCCGGAGCACCGAAGGCCGGGAGACCCTGCTGAAGCTGGCGCTGCCGGCGCCCCAGGGCAGCGGCAACGCAGCGGCGCGGCTGACGAGGCGGGGCAGACCGGCTGCGGTGGGGCAGCTGGACGACTTCCTGGGGCCCAGGCGGCCCAGAAGCGATTCGGGCCGCTGACCTTCTTGAGCAGACTTGACGGAAGCAACATGCCTTAGCTTGTGGAGAGAAGTTTTAGCCCAAACACGACTTTGCGAATCTCGACCTTAGAGCGATCCCTGGACCCCGCCCAAAACGGCCATTCAGCTTGTGGATGCAAGCCTGACACCCATGGAACATGTGACGCCTCTTGTGACCTTAATTAAGTCCGCCCTGCTCCCACCTGCTGGCGCGATTTTTGTACACTCACAAAAGTTTCAGCACGTCCAGCTGCGCAATGATAGTCTCGCAACTCTTTGGAGAGTGTTTCTTCTCCTCGTGACGTCTGGCCCATGTCTTGTTTGTAAAGGACTGCCAGCCTTCAGACTCAATTCAAATCTGCAGCAACACATTTTGCAGTCCTCAAAGTTGTCCTTCTTCGCCTTGTCCTGCAACTTCAGGCCGCCTGCATCCTTTTTCTCTCCATAACGACATTGCGCTGCGATGAACTCGAGCTTACCAGTTGCCTTGCATCTCACAGGGATCAAAAGGTCGTTGTGAGCCGTTGCAGAATTCCGGTTGGACTTGATGGCCTTCCCAACGTCACTCATGACAGTTGCTTCATTGCCTTGGCCGCTTGGATATTCCACACCATCACTCCAGCAAACTTCGAACGGCTCCAAAACAGCTCGCAAGTGAATCCTCCGTAGGGTAGATCTCCAAAAAAGGTGACTTCAGCACTCAGGTTTCTTGCTATACAGTGAAGGCGGAAAACCGAGCCTGGCGCATGCGAGCCCCGGGCCTCCGTGTCGCTGTCCTGGCACGATTGCAACTGGCCAAATTTGCAACTGATGATTGGAGCGTCCTGCTGCGGGCTGGCGCGCAAAGCAACTCCGCCACGCCCAGCATGCCAGCGTCTCACCTCAAGAGGAGCTGAGAATCCAGGCAAAAAAAAAAAGCAACACCGAGACCTGGCGGACCAATTGCAACACACAACACAGGAGGCCCGACTCACACGCCCCAGTGCAACGGACGGCCTCTTCCAAGCCCTAAGGTCTGCTTTGGCCTGCGTCGCACGAAAACCGCTTGTTTACAAGAAGGCTGGTTCTGCTGCCTGGGCTGAATGCACTTCTGGCTGGGTGGAAGGGAAAAGACCAACCGAAGAAAGCCAGCCGTGGGAGCGACAAATAACTTCTCGCCAGGCCTCAAGTCTTTCTGGCCAGCAGCTTTGCGTGGACTATTGAAAACCGAGACGAATGCGCCAGGTTGGCCCTATTTCCTCATCGTGGCCCTTGTCGCTGCCATGGCTCGTGATGACGCTTGCAGGAGAAAGGGTTTTCTGTGACACACAGCATGCGGTTGCAACTACCGCTGACAGTGGGAGAATACACACGGCAGGAGCACACGGCAGGAGCACTGGATCTCAAGTCTACACAGACGAAAAACACCGCAAAAAATCTCGCGTCCAGCAACCGCCACACACACACACATCTTTTTTTGCAACGCGGAGCCCTGTCTGTGCCTTTGCCTTCAGCTTCAGGTTTCACCCAAAGCCCGCAAGCTTGTTTTGCAGAGGCTTGCCACGCTTCTCGAAGAACAGTCGAAGGGGCCCGGTCCTCTCGAAGAGGAGTTCCGCGAGGCCCACCTCGTTGAAATAGACGTTGGGATTGTCAAGGGACCGGCCCTCTTTAGTGCTCTCAGTGGTGCAGAACACGGGCAAGGCTTGGAGCACCTTCGGATTGGCTTGGAGGCCAGCCAGTGCTTTTTTCGCCTTGTCTTCCACCGAGGGCCACTTGCCCACGAACTCCTGTACATACTTGGTTTGCACGCCAAGAATCAATAGATGGGCGTTTGGGTCCTTCTCCCCAGGCCCTGTCGGCTGCAAGCTTCGAAGCAGCTGTCGGTGATCTTTGCGCGGAACTGTCCATGGCACCAAATACTCGATCCCTTTCTCAGTGCGCTTCTGGGACACCACGATGCTGCCGTACTCTAAGGAGCTCATCACCTCGTCAACGTCGTCAAAGGAATCGAGCTCCACCACCGAGTTCTGTCGGTGCCGCAACCCAGACAGCACGAGCACTTCTCGCAGGCTCTCCGGTTTCAAGCTCGCCCCTGGGAAGAGCTGCTCCAGCGTGCAGCTTTCCTGCTCCAATGCCAAACGCACCGCAGCATCGAAGTGAAGCATGACGGTCTCAAACTTCTTCTCATGCGCGGCCTCAATGACAGCATCCTCTTCAAACATCTTCTTGATCTGGTTTGCCAAGGGCTCACGGTGGCTTTCAGCCCAGCTTTGCAAAATGAGCGGGTGCAAGACTGACTTATGGCCAGAGTTGCCAAACTGCACGGCCTGGACTAAGCCGCGGGAGACAAGGTCGTCCTGTACTCCAGTCGCAATGATCGCACTGGGTGAATACCACTGTCTGACCTCGTCACTCTGCAAGGATTTGCCCTGGTCAAGCTTGGCAAAGCTTATCATTATCATGCGAAATTGGGCCAACGCAAAGGTGGTTTCAGGCACTCCACAGACAGAAAACGCATCCTGTAAAGCATCAAACGTCAAGCGCGGATGGCCAAGGAGCTGTCGCAACAGCTGTCGTCTGCCAGGTGTTTGCTCGAAAGCATTGCGAATCTCCTGAGGTACCCTGTCCAAGGACTCAGGTGGCAAAGCCTTCAAGGAGATCAGTGTCGCAATTTTGCGGCCAGACTGGCTTGCTCGCTCCTTCATGTAGCTCTCGAAGAGCGCTGTCCAAATGAAAATAACAGGAAACTCTCCCGAAATAAGAGATGCGTCTTGGGTGTTCATGAGGGTGGAGATGAAATTGCAGCACGGCTTGGTGCCGCATTTTTGTTCCAGCTGCATGACCTCGTCCACCCCCACCACAAGAAGCTCCTTTGACAATCCCAGCTTCTGCTGCAGAGCCCGCATCACCTTCTTCCATGGAAGGACCGCCGAGCACCATTCAGCGTCATCCCGCCGCATGCCGGCGCTCTGAAGGAGCACATGTGCGAAGGCATTTTCTGGGCCCTTGCTTGCATCCCATTCGCTGCCTCCATTGAAATCCACGTGCAGTCCGACCTTCGCCCCAGTTTCGTTGAGCCAAGTGGTGCACATCTCATGCAAGAGGCGAGTTTTGCCGATTCCCTTGACGCCGGCCGTCGCCTTCATGCTGCACTTTGGCAGCGTCCCCTGCTCCCAGTGGATTGAATTGGCAACATCCATGACCCCGCGAATGTATTCAAGGAGTTCCCGCTTGGCCTCCGTGCGCCCCAACAAAGCAGGTTTCATCGGTGCTGGCCTGCGCACCGTCCAGCTCGACGATTGGATGGCCTGGCAATGTTGCATTTTTCCGCATTTTTGCTGCGTGGTTGCGAAATATTCGTTTTGGCTCTCCAAAACCACCCCCCCGTCCTCGATGGCAGCCTGCTGCCCATCTGCCTGGGAAAGAGGCATCAAGTTGGAGCCTTCGTTTAGGGTCAACTCAACTGCTCGAAGATGTGACAATACTCAAAGTCATAGGGGAACAACATGGGATTTAAGGGCCAGCAGTCCCTGCCTGCAATTGTCAAACAGGCACTCAAAGGAGAGGGAAACACAGTTTTGTCAACAACGGGGGAACCCCGGGACCTTAAAAGGAACGAACCCCTCCGTGACTGCGACCTCTCCCTTAACCTTGGGGTTAGCGCGATGCCACGCGCTGTTTTCAGCACTTGAGCCAAAGCAGTGTTGAATCATGCTTTGGCAACCACTTGAATGTACAACATGCAACTGACTACATGGGGACCTACCTCATGTACCTCTGGGCCATAAATGTCATCGTGATAATTGACTCCCCCCTCATTGACGGCACTGAGGGAGTGTCTTGGGCGCATTACCACGCCAACTTGAAGTCAAGTTTACATCACAACGACTGACACAAGTTATTCAAGCATCACCCAGGCACTTTGCACACTTTTGGAAATTTTGCAGGACATGCTGCAGCGCACTAGGCAGCTGCTTTAGCGGCTCTACTTTCACGAACGTCTTCAAGCTTCTCTGGTAGGTCAACACGAATGCCGAGCAACCGGATGGCATGGTCCCACTTGTTGGGTGGAAGCGCTTTCGTGAAGATGTCCGCTGACTGCATGTCGGTTTGGACGTATTCTATCGAGATGTGTTCGCTTTCAAGCTGCTCTGCGATGCACGCGAGATTCACCTTGTGTGTTCGCTGGACACAGCGTAGCTTGGATGAGAATCCTTTCTTTGCTACGAGGATAGTCGCCTGGTTGTCCTCGTGGATCTTGAGATGGAATGGTCGGTCCAAGATCAGCTCCCACAAGCTTAGCGCAGGGAGCGCTTCCTGATAAAGGGAGTATGCGAGAGATACAATCTCCGCCTCGGTCGTTGATCGAGAGACCGATGTCTGCCTTTTGGATACCCACGCAAGCGGAAAATGCGTGTGCGGACCACTCAAAATCAAGAATCCTCCGGACGTGGATTTTGCATCTCGCTCTCCGGCGAAATCGGCGTCTACATAAAGAGACAGATGCAAATCCTCAGTCGAATCTTGAACTGTGCCTACTAGCGTGCTGTTGACCGTGCTGTTTATGTAGCAAACAAGCCTATGTAGCTGCTTATCGCAGTTTCTAGACCATTTTTGAACAAATGAGGCAAGGTCGCCAATGGGCTTGACCAGGTCTGGGCGTGCCAAGCGGCCGAGCCATAAGGCTTTCATCAACACGCGGCAAGCGGCGAATCCGAGCTCACCCTCTAAGGCGTCATCTGCAGGATCGAGGGATCCAGCGGGACAGAATGGAGTGGTGGCATCACGCAACTTTTCACTTTTCAGCTGTGCAACCTCAAGATATAATGCTACCGTTTGACGGGCATAATCCCGCATGTCGAACGCCATGCCCCCTTTCAATCTGCCCATTGCGGCATTAAGATCGGGTTCAGTTGGGTCCTTTGGAGCATCTATCAAAAGGTGATTCCTGCCTAGCACCCGATATATGTCTTCTGGGGGTTCTATATCAACCAGTCTTGTTAACTTTTCCCAGAAGTCTTTATGAAGGTGGCTGGGGCCGGCCAACGTCAAGTCGTCGACGTATGTCGAGAGAAGTAACCCGGACTCCTTGAACCAGAAGTTTCCAGGAAACTCTGCGACCTCACGCCCTCCAAGTTCACTAATGAAACCTTTGAGGTGTGCCTCCCAGAGTCCGCCAGCGTCAGGATGCCCATAAAGAGCTTTAACGAGCAAAACCACAGGTTTCACGAAACGCTCGCGCCACCACCTTGGCCGGAGCTCAGGCGGGAGTGTGATCCAAGTTTGGTACTTGGACTTCAGCAGTGCTTGCACATAAGCCTTTATAGCGTCCGCTGTTGTGGTGGAATTCCCTGGCAGGGATCCATAAGCGAGACAGTTATTAAGACCTTGTACGCTCGTGGGATTTGCTCCCAATTCTTGGTAGACAGCTGCTGCGCCATGTTCGTCTTTCGCACAGTCTCCGCGATACACAATCCTACCTTTCATCTTCTGAAGGTGTTTCGCGAGTTCGGCGAACTTGACGGATGCTAGCGACATCAACTGCCCGAAATGGACTTTTATACTGGATCGTCGCGCCTCAGCAGCGACTTGATCGTACTCTCGGACTGAATTTAGATCCCAACACCGGCTTTCTCCAGGCCTGTGGCTTCAAGTCGAACGGCTTCAAGAGCTTCCGGGGAAGCCAACATTTCGGCACGTGACAAGAGTCTGGTCACCATTGCGGTGATCTCAGGATCCTTCTTCTCTTTGACTTGTCCTAGGGAATGTGCGATGAGATTTTCAACATCAAGAACTTGCTCAAGGATGTTGTGACACTTTTCATCGGACTCAACAGCAACACCTATATCTTCCAAACCGGAGAGAGGGGATATGTGCTTCAACTGCTGTTCACGTTCCCGGTGATCGAGAGGCAATGGCACTTGGACAGGCATCGCAGGCACAACGGGTTGAACTGTCGGATACAGCGCACGGGCAACTGTGAGACACATGCCTTCGGGGTAGAAGGCGGTCTTTGCGGTCTTGTTACCTGCTGCAAGCGAATGCTTATACCCTTTTTCGTGCGGACACTTGAATGCACCTAGTGCGGATGCGAGTGTGCTATTGCTGGTCATGACTTTCCATGGCTTCTTGATGGGATAACCATTGCTGTCCTTCAGACCTAGGGCGCAACCATGGAAGGGCTGGGGTGAAGACGTGTGCGTATTCTCTAAAGAATGCAGAAACATCATCCCTAGCCCAGCTGTCGCAATCCCTTGGCCATTCAAACGAAACACTACCCCCCTGATGAAGGACAGTCTCTGCGTGACGTCTGAATCTGGAGAACAACTCTCTCGACTCTTTAACCTTTTGCTTCAGTTTCTTTTTGAACTGGCTTCCTAACTTGGCCTTATTAAGGCGTTGCCATGCTGAACCTGATGTACAGGGAATTGCGGCCCAAAGATTGGGTTTATCACAACCTTCTATCTGCGACTGTAACTGGATTTCTCCTTCATCTGTGCTGAGGTCGATAAACTCTTTAGCCAGCCTAACATGAGGTATGCCAAGACCTTCAAACACGCGACCCATGTTGGACTCTGGTGAACATGCGTATTCGAACATCACAGGCAACTTGTCAATACGTGCCTGTTTCTTGCGGGCACGATGATTTCCAACCTCAAACTGCTTGCGCTGTGGAGCTTCAACCTCTGCGCTGCATGGCATGCCAAAAACTGGCAATGTGTTCGGACGACCGTTCCTTGACGCTTCGGTGAGAGGTGTCGGCGGTACGGAGTCTAACATCACGGCTGCACCTGTGGTGATAACACAATCGGACTGAATGGGTTTTAACTTGAACACTGTGAACCCGGTCCATGCATCTCCAAGTGAGCGATTGGGTCGGCTACCAAACCAACCATCGTGGATGTTGTCTGCTTTGCCCCCCTGAAACACGGCACGAGTGGTGCGAGCTGCAGTAAATCTTTCTGGGGAAACGGGGCAATCCTCGACCTCTTTTGGGGTAAAAAGATTCTGCCTTGGCATGATATGGTATCGAACCAAACAGTTGGCATTTTCTTTGAACACCCAAAAATCTTCACCTTGCGATGTAGCGGCTGTCGCTGGCGCGGTATCGAAAAATGAGCCACCGGGTCTTGAGGGAGCGGGCTCCCCAGCTTCGGCTGCATCAAATTCATGCGCAACATCTTCTGCACTAACTGCGGGCTTAGGATCCTCTCCATGCTCGGATGCGTGGATTGCTCTAGCTAGCTCCTCATCCCCTTCAGTATGAACAATGGGAATGGGTTCCTTAGATTCAGTTTTGGCAGCGCTTTTTGCAGCTGCTTCAGCTCGATCTGCAGAAACAAGTTCGGAGAACCTCTTCTTGCATTCGGCACTGTGAATCTTGGAATGACCGGTGCATGCACGGCAACCTGGCGTTTCCTTGAACTTGATGATCCTCTCAACAGTTATGTACACGGATTTTGACTTGACAGCGGATGGGGTCGGTGGGGCACCAAAGGGCGCCTCTCGCAGGGGCATAGGTGGGGGATCAGACCCATCTGTCTTGCCACCATGCAATGCTCTATCTGCTGCTGCTGCAATCGGAAAGCTTGGGGGTCCGTCTTCAACGAACAATTCCGGTTCAGGAACATCGTGAACGGAAATGGAACCATCTTTGCGGAAGGCTTCATAGTCCATGACTTTGACCACATTACGGTACCGCAACCCCGGATCGACCCTCCAACCCAAAAAGAGCGCTGGCGCCATGTTCGGATCGAGAGTACGCTTGCCAGGAGTCTTGGTTCTGTACCAAACCAATTGCCCGAAACAGCATCTCTTACCTTGAAACTTTTCTTTGGTGAGGGCTTCCCATTGGGTTTTCCCTGGGCTGAAAGGTGCAGGCCTGTCGAACGACATGGAGAGACATGCAAATGGGTAACTAAACGTATGCAACGAATAGGGCAGCCCTGATTGCATGTGGATGCTGCGGCAGCATTCCTTCTCCTCGCGAATGTCGCGCTCCAGAACGGTGTTGTGTGGCCACCTGTTCGGTAAGCTTGTCTCGGGGACGAGACCGACTTCGTGGGCCGCTCCTTCGAGCTCTCCTGCTGCATCCATTTTTACTAGACATGTTGGCGGCGAATCAGTGGCCCGAAGGCCCATGAACTGACGGAAGTTTTTAACATGCGCCTGCGTGTCCCGCCTACTCACAGGGTAAGCAAGTCGTACGCCTGAGAAAACATCACGTACTACATGGTGAGATTTGATTCCACCGAAACCTACTCCGAGATGTTCATCGCCCATGGCAAGAATCACGGAATCGGTAGCCAACTGTTGAAATGGTGCGGTTGGAACATCGACTTTGTCGTCGGATCTAGTATCCTTTTTGTGCGCTACCCTTGCGGAAGTGGTCTTTGAGATTGAACACACCTTGCAA